TTTAAGATAAGCTTTAAGAGAAAAGGAAACTTTTGTTTGGGTACAAAAAGGGGAAACTATGAGAATATATAGCCGTTAGAAAATCAAAGCATACAAGTGCAAATGAAATTCAAAATGATTCGACCGTTAAATACAGGTCATCCCTGATTTTCCTTATAACCCAATCCCTGAAGAAGAGAACTGTTTTTCTTCTCCCTCCGACGACCCAGAAAAGGTCCACGAAATGGTGAGAGAAGAGCCAAAAGAGAGCCCTCAGAATTCAAATCAAGCAAGCCCAATTCAGAATGACGGAACCGGAGAGAGTTTGCTCAGCCCCAGGTTCAAATCCATCGCCGCCATGGCCGGCTGGGACGAGGAAGCGCTTATCGTCGCTAGTCTTGTAGTCGAAGACACTCCTGACAGAATCTGCAAACAAAAGAAACGCTCCAATTTGGTTTTCGTGTCCCCGCCCTCCACCAATTCAAGAAGGTAAATGAGTAATGGGTGATCCCGAATCAACGTCGAATTAATGGGAATATCTGATTGATTCCTGGGAAAATTCAAGAAAGAGATTGTCTTTAAGTTTCTCCTCTGTCTCAATTTTTAGAAATTAAGTAGTCATGTTCTCTTTTCTCAGGAAGCGCAGGGCGCAGAGGAGGAGTGCTGTTCCGATTTCCGTTGCTCCTCTAGATTTAGACGATGAGGAGACTTCAAAAGAAGGTACTGGAATTTTCTTTACAGGATCTGGGATCTTGTGATTTGATTTGGGTAACCCTCTTTTGATTCGATTTCTGGAACATTGGTGATGACCCAGAAAGTGAGAAAAAGAAGATGGAAGAACAGAAAATTGTTGTTAGTGGAGAGAAGAAGAAGAAGACAGGAAGAGATAAAATGAGTGAAGAAAACCCTGATGTTTCCTGCTCCAATCCAGCTCTTCCATGTATTGATAAACTCAGAGAAGAGCTTTCATGCGCAGTAAGAGTCTTCAGAACTATCTATTCTGTTCATATTTTTTTCTACTTTCATGGATTAAATCCATTTGGGGTTTTCTCTAGTTTTAATGATTTGGTGTTATTTTCTTGACAGATTTGTTTGGAAATCTGCTATGAACCCAGTACTACTCCCTGTGGACATAGGTAAAACCAAAACCAATTCCCAATTTAAATTCAACAGAACCCTGTTTGATTTTTTGGAAAGTATGTATTCATCTTGTCTTTAATGTTGTAGTTTCTGTAAGAAATGTCTGCGATCTGCCGCTGGTAAATGTGGAAAGAGATGCCCAAAATGCAGGCAACTAATAAGGTAAAAAAAACATGGCTGTGGTTTTTTATGAGATTGTTTGTACCCTATGAATGTTGGGGAATTTACCTATTTTTCATTAATATACAGCAATGGAAGATCTTGCACTGTAAACACAGTTCTATGGAATACAATTCAGCTTCTGTTTCCGCAAGAGGTTGAAGCAAGGCAGGCTGAACTTCAGAGTCCAGTAAAAGGAACTCACAGTAATAGAAGGATTCGGAGTTCACAATCTCCAATGGAGGAGAATGGCATAGATACAAGATGGAGGAGGAGAGGAGCACGGAGCCAAAATGATGGAGATGCTGCATTGGCTGCAAGGTCGCTGAGACAAGACAACCTTTCCCAGTTGACAAGCAGCAATACAAGCTCAAGGAGGAGGAGAGGGATGCCAAGACAAGATGTGGCTGCTACACCATTGGCTTCAAGGCCACAGAGGAATACAAGCTCAAGGAGGAGGAGAGGGACACCAAGCCAAGATGCTAATGCTGCTTTGGCTTTGAGGTTGCAGAGGGAGGAGTTCATGGAGTCTTTCGTGAGGAACCATGAACAATCTAGACCAGCATCTCTAAGCTTGGCTAGAGCAAATTTGAGAGCTATGGCTTCCAGAGCCATTAAAATTCGTACAAGAGGTCAGTAACTAATTGGTGGTTGTAGTTTTGGAACGAAGTGTAAGAATGGGACAACAATTGTCACTGAGACAAGAAAGATTTGATTGATGTTTACTGGAATTATGAATTTGTCCAAGCAAAATTTCTTTGCAAAACAAGAATCCATGTGCAACTTGAAATAGTAATTTGAGCAATTTCTTTCCCTCTGTCCCTTTGTTCGTTTCTCCAATCCAAGCAATTTTCTTCTGAAAAGGACAAAAACAGTTCAAATTTTTAAGAGTCTTAGACATCAAGATGGGGCCGATGAAATGAGAGCCGATTATCTCCAATCAAGTAAGCTTGGACTCATGTTACTGAAATGTTGTCTTTAATGTACAAAATGAACCTCCTAGAAAGCAACTCACTCAATTCTCAACCTAAAAACAAAATGGGTTAATTGGCCAAGAGTATCCAATGTTGGTGGCCTCTAGGCTCGAGCCATTTTTAAGATCACAACAACAAAGTTCTTTTCTTTCTATGATAATGCATTTTAACCTGTCAGCAAATGCCAATTTCATTGTGAGAGAAAGTCACGGTTCAGGATGAACCACATAGCTCTGATCTGACGATTACAGATGACTGTGAATTAGGATCGTGAGTGGCTGCTTGAATAATCTTTCAAAGGCAATTATTCTAGCGTTTTAGTGAATATCTTCTTCTGCCAAGGCGGGGTGCTCCTGTCCACCGCGGTGAGATGCTCAAAGCAAAGGAAATGGCCCCAACGGCCCCAATGGCGTAGAAAGCTTTATATGGTGTTGAGGCCAGAGCAGAGATAAAGGAGCAGAGTCCGGCAAGTAGGTAGATAAAGTTCAATCTAACTTTCTGACCCAGGACACGAGGAAAGGAAAAGGAGTAATCAAACAGAGGCTCTGAACTGAAGATGCCGTGAAGGATTAAGCAAATGCAAAGTGATGAATCCACGAACCGTGGAAAGCTTTGATGCATCCCTATTCTCTGCAATCACATAGAAGGTCCAAAGATGGCCAATTAAATACAATACATAATGGATGAATCATTAAAGGAATGGGAGAAGGTGTCTTATTGGGTAGCAATTTAGAATTTATATCCTAAATGCATATGCATGTTTATATTATATATAACAAGAAATAGCATTCATCAAGTCTAATGAATGTGATGAACTATCTTTTCACTATCTATCACAGTAAACCAGAGAAGCACTAATGATGCAAGCTAGACAACCGTCAAAGAATCAGTGATCTAGTCAATTTCAAACAAAGAATAGGTTCAGGAAATTCCAGTTGGTTCCTCAGAACTCCAACATGGTAAATTGCTTAGAAACCTACAAGTGAAATTCTTGAGATACAAGTCATATGACTTATGCACGTTGCAGTATTCAGCCTGAGAACAAATGTAACCATATTGCTTACCTGCAACCAAGATATCAGTGAGGGGACAAACATAAGTGCTCCAAGAAGATGCAGGACCAGCAAGCCATGCCGATAGTGAAAGATATCTTCTTGCGTTTGCCCATAACTAGAGCTGTTCTCTTTTGAAGGGGAGCCAGGTTTGGATGCAAACTGCTGAGACCGATAATTGCCTTGGGCTTTATGATCACTCAGTTCCATTCTTCGTGCATGGGTGCGGAAGGAAGCTATCAAAGAACTGTTACCCAAAAAAAAAAAAAATTGAAGCAGCTGTTGGGATCGCCTAGCAAGTGCATGCAAATACTACCAGCCCCCATTACTCCACAACATAATATAAAATGAACAGAGTTGTGCACCAAAATATCCCAACAATTCATGCATAAGAAATCAATATAATGACAAGAAGAGGAAGTTGAACTGTCTAAACTTACTTGCACAATGCATCATGACAGCATAAAGCATGAGATAAAAGGAGAATTAATAAGCCTAAAGCAGGATGAACAAAGGTGGAAAGAGTAATAGCAGCTGATACAGGAACATATAATGGATTGGCTCTTAGAACTCCTATAACCTGTTCTCCAAACAAATCAAAGAGAATATTAGCAAGACAACATAAGCTGTGTTGCAAATAAAATAACAAGAAAAGAGAGCATATAAGTTCTCAACCATCACACACAAGCTGATCCAAATACATTAATATGCATCTGAGCTACTAATAAGACATTGGTAACTGAGGCAACAGTTTACCTTTAAAGAAAGAAAACCAGAGCAAAGATTAATAAACCATTGAAGAAATGAGAAGCAGAAGTTTCCTTCCCAGAGTTGCCATCTGCAATTAATTGAGCTTTATATTAGAAAATGAGGCCATACCGCAAAATTTTTATATGAATTTCTCTTACCATATACAAATGATTAGTAACCAATATCTACTAATATACATCATATATCTTAATCACCTGATATAAAGCAGATGATACTGTAGAAAGTTCAGAGAATCAGTTGAATTCATGGTAAGAGTTGTGTTATCTTTTACATTTTCCCTTTTAGCCTTTCCTTTTTACATTTCTTTATCTGAAAATATTGGTAGTAAATCACTCATAATCACATCATCTATCTAGTTAGAAGTTCATCCAACAAGAAAGACAAACTAACCTCCTCTTGATGAAAACATGCAAATAGGCAGCCACATAGAAGACCAACTGAGATACCAATATCAGTAGGATTACAAACCCGTTTGCAAACAAGTAGCAAATAACTGAGATTACGGTGAAGCTCATAAATGGAGGAAGTGCTTGAGATATCAGGTAGGACAGGAACAGGGAAATCAAAATTGGTACAATAGATAAAGCCAAAAATGGAAATGGTATTCTTAAGTTGGACTCCATGACTTCCAGTATAGATGGAATTGGCCGTGTATGTGCTTGCCGCATTAGGGCAAAAAATATGACAGCAATAGAGAAGCCAACCATCTGCATGAGAGGAATTCCTCAATTTTAATATAGCTCCTTACTCAGAAAGTAAAATATATTCAACAACATCAGACAAAGCATTCAGATCTAGGCCATCACCTGTGAACCATATAGAAGCAAAAATCTGCTTGCTGCTCCAGAGAGAGAAATGGCTATGTTAGTCTGGTATGAACAATGTGGATCAACCTGCAAGATTGGCAGTAATGAAAGACCTTAGCTTTGTACAACAAAAATACTAAATGAAAAAAAGTAACATTTTGATTAAAAAAATAAATAAAGGAAATCTTTTTCACATGACTTTTTACCAGTAACAGAACAGTGGTCTTCTCCAACGTGGTAGAACCCCAAAGCACTGGAGAGGAATCAACAACAATAGTCTCACTTTGCAAATTTGGAAATACATGAAGACCGGATGTAGGATCCCAAGCAAGCGCAACAGGAGGGAAACAGCGCAGTTTGCAGAGCCCTAGAGTTAAAGTTGGTTAAGCAAAAGAGATAAAGAGAAAAACTATTATAGCCTCAAGATGGAAATAAGGAATGAATTAAGCTAAAACTTACTACTGTTTTCTGCATCATCAGCCTCTTCACCAGGAAGGCCAGAATTTTTTATTCCACAGCCTGCCGTTTTTAATGACAAAGTAACAGGCAATAGGCCTAAGCTAGTAGCAAATGACAGATTAAACACAAGGGGGTGGTCCTCCTTCAGAAAGATATCCTGTGAAAGCAATGCACCAATTAGAGGTCAGTCATCGTAGCATCACAAACTATGTTGGGCAATTTCTTCCCCAAGTTTACAAGCCCCGTAAGGTAAATCTGTTGCAACTGAGGGAGACTAACCTTATGAGAATAGGCAGCTAGAAGCATCGATTTAGGAGATAACTCTGTGTTCCCTTCTTCAGGATTAAAGAACTGCCCAACTGCCATAGAATTAGCTGGTGGAGGTTGGCCTGAAACAGTCTGAGGACCACAAAGTCACTGCACAGAATTTCTCATTATTTTGAACAATTACATCAAGTAGGGAAAAGCAGTAAATTAAAAAACAAAAAAAAACAAAACAGTAACAAGCTGGCACCAAAAAAAAAAAATTCTAATTTAGTCGCAAAAGTTAACCTACAAATTTCTCTCACTGATTAAGAACATAAGATAATTTTCGTAAGAAATTTTAGGGGCCAAACATTCAACAAGTATAATATACACAACTTCAAATATTTAAGACAAAGCAGGGATAGAAGCCTCCATCAAGTGACCATCAAGATGTATCTCTAATTTAAGCATAAAAAATAGAAAATTATTTCCATAAATATCTTCCTACCAGATGTATTCTTTTTCAAAAGCTAAAAAATGTGACCATTAAGAAAGAAAAGAAAAGATACCAGACGAGGTGCAACCGAGATTGTCAGGAATCTAAAACCATTCATTTCCTCAGGACGCAACTGAAACACAGCAGATGGAGGTGGTTGCTCAGTCTGACTTCCAGGCTCAATCTGATCAACAGTTTATCCAAAAATAAGAATGGCAGTCAGCTAATTAAATAGGTTGTTCACAATGTAAACCAAGTTGGTTGCTTAAATCTGCAAGTAACAAGATTTTAAACCACTCCCAACGCATATTGCAGCAGTGGGGGATTGAGGCTGTTGTGAGGGATTGAATATAGTTTGAACTGTAGGTTTTCATTGACTGTAACAGCATACTTGCTGCTCTCAGTACATTGAGTTTGATTATATAAATGAAATTTTACATTCTATTGGGAAAAAAAAAAAAAAAAAGATTTTAAACCTCCCACTTTATAGGTATTGAAGTTTCATACATAAGAGATGCCATAAATCTGCTAAAAGTTTATAAGATGCAGTTGGAACAAACACCAGATGAACTTGCACATTCATATTTAACCAAAGGAAATAAAAAGTAAGCTTATAATACCTGCCTTGGTGCTGGTCCTGCTGGAATCTGCACCATCTTTGATGTAACTTCTAAAACCTTCTTCTTACTAGCAGGCAAATCTGAATTTGGTGTTCCCTTTTCAGCCCACAGATGAAGTCTAACTCCGGAACATGGAGCAAGGTTTGTCACAAAGATGAAGTGGCTTTTTCCATTTGAACCCTACACACAAATTAACTCTGAACAACCATAGCCGAGAGGCATAATAATAGGCAATGAGACAACTAACATAATAGACAACGAGATAAATAACTCTCTTCAACAGCAAATATGGAGCAACTTCAGTGAAATTTTATAATGTAGTCATCATTTCCAATTTACACCTCTTTCACAGAAATTCAGGAAAAAAAATGTTAGCACCTAGACACAGGAACAGTATTGAAAACAAATAAAATATTTCTTTCAAGTTAAAAGGAAACTTTTAAGTTTTAACAAGGCTAACCAATTTTCGAATGTCCAACCACCGCCTCCTCCCATCCATGGCCAAAATAGTGACTGTAGTTGTCTGAATGTACAAATCCCTCTCAAGGACATCGTCATTCCAGTGGACATTGCTAGGACAACCTGATAAAGTGTGCAATTGAGAACCTGCAAACATGACAGGTCAACACATGAACATGCACTTTGTTGTAATCAATCAGTTGATGATACAACCTATCATATTAACTTTGAAGGTCCTACAACTTATATAAGGATTTCATAAACCATGTCATAGAGCACCTAACCTAAAACCAATTGGTGATAGGTGGAGATGCCAAGCATAACTATAAGGCTGAAAAAAACTCCAGATTTAATTGACTGGGGATGTGAACACTACTTAGCATGGTCCCTCAGATGCAACCCAGTTGAACAACTTAAACAAACAGGTCTATTGCATGAACAACAGAAAGGGGTCCACAAACACTAAATGGGGAAACAAACAGACTAGGCTTTGATACCATGGTAAAGCATCCAACCAGTAGGTGATAGGCAAAGGACAAAGCTTGAATAAGGCCACAACAAACCCCACACTTGGAGGATATTTCAACTTCTTCACATGCTTATCTTATGCAATAGAAGAAAGAGTCCAACTCTAGAAATCTTGAATTCCTACGAAGTTCACAAAACTTACAAGTAGATCATCAATGTAGTCATAAAAAAATGTGTATAGATAGGTAAATACCAGAAGGATTTTTTACATCCTTAACAACATTGGTTGACCATGATGACTGTGATTGCATCTTCCAATTGAAACTCTGTGGTATCCCACTACGGAGCAGCCTCGAGAATATTGCCAGTCTTTGTCGAGTATCAGTGAAAGGCTGGCCTGTTCTGGAGTCTATCAAACTAAGGAGAGTATGTGAAACCTATAGAGAACACATACAATCAGAACTGTTTAAGACGGAATAACTTGTGTATGAGGAGGAGATTTCACTCACTTGCCCTACTAGTTGATTACACCACAAAATAGCTTGATGTTCCATAGACAACCATACATTTTTCATGCCAGTACTACTTATCATGAAACCATGAGTAGGAGGCACTATACCATCAAGTGTTTCCAACTTTGACCTTACCTGAAGTCAGATAAAAAGAAAACTTGAGATATAAGCAAGGCCAAGTGCCACCAGGTCTAGTTTAACAGAAAGATTCTGAAGCACTATGGAAATAGACATAATGGAAAAAAAATAGGTTTCAACTAAGGAGAACTAGTTAAACCAACAAGCATACTTCCAGACTAGTTGTCTAAGTAAGAAAACAGAGGCTTGTAGCATATTCTCAGAGAATGACAAACAGCATTCAGAACTTTTCCTCATCAGTAATCTAAACAATCAAAACTGGATGTGGGCCTCACAAATGGACATCATCAGGCAACAAAGCAAGGGAAAATATAACTATCATGCAATCATTTCTTAGCAGTTATATACAGTTACTTATGCTAGATATGCCGTTGACTAATCATGTCAACTTTCAAAACTACGAGAGGACTGTAAGTGCCAACTCAAAGGACAAGACTCAATGATATGCAAGACCAACATTCAGAACCATTCAAACTATTTAAGTGTGACACAAAAGTAAGCCCATAAAGAATCTTTTTTTAATACAACCAAACATTTCCAAAGTCTATTAAGCATATACTGCATGACAGAAGTCAAAGACATATACCTGATAATCATTATAACCACCAGATATGGAGACAACAACAACATGAGAGAGGACTGGATCAGACACATAACGTCCTGTTCGAGAGGTTTGGACCTCATATCCCTTTCTCCATTCCTCATTTATACTTTCATAATAGCAACCTAAAGATGGCTGCAATGCCACAGGGGGAAATCTGCACAAAATAGGGGAAATTCTTACTAAAAAGAAGAAAGAAATTGAAAGTAAATTACACAAAAGATGCCTTAAAGCTCACTGGTGGGGGCTTGAAAGAGTGAGAATAGTCTCAACAGCTGATTTCCTCAAACGAGGGTGGATGGTTGCAGCTCTAGCAACAAAACCACCCATAGAGTGACCAACCAAAATGACACTTTTCGGCAAACTTCCAGTTCCTGCAGCTCCTTCTCTTTCTCTCACATCACGGGATTCTTTGTATTGATCCAAAATCTGGAAAAATGGAATTCTCAAGTAATGCAGAAACCAGAAGTTTTACATACTTGAAGGAAAAAATCTTTAAGACTCAGACTTCAATCAATTTGAGAAATAAAATAACATTGAAAAAAGTAATACCCTGTGAATTGCATATACAACATATTCTGTGTGCTCTTCAAGTATCCGCCCATCCATTGCAGAATGTTCACCTTCAAGATCCACAGCAAACCAGTCTAGCCTGTAACTATATCGGTTGGGTAATTGAAAGGAAGCTATATCCATATCTGCCCCTCCCTCCTCAGGGGTTAGATAAGTTTCCTGATAGAATGTGTGCTCAAGTGGACCTCCTTGAAAAGCCCTATCAGATTCAGCTGCCACAGAACGAACCTATGGGGAGGACAAAGAAACCATGAAATTTATTGAGAGCGATACCTCATATTGGACTCACAACAGTTCCATATTTTGTCCATTTTAATCTCCAGAAATTACAAAAATACATATCACATTACCATGGATGTTGCTGATTCAAAAAAAAAAAGAAAAAAATACTATGGATGTTGTTGGAATGGAAACATTTTACATCTAACAATGTGAGAACATAAATTAGCACCTCCCTGCTATAACAGGATAAAATAAGTTCAAACCGTAGCAATGCCCCCTATATGTCCATGGTAATGCCAACAATTGTGAAAAGAAATATCATGTTTGTACTCAGTTTGTCCTCTAATTCACTCTACAGTCCATAAAACATGAAAAAGGCACTTATGAAGAACCCATTGTAACAAGACTTCCGTTGATATCTCCTTAAAAGCACAATTGACAGCCTCCCACAAGTAAAGCCAATCTCAATAACATGCAATCCTACCAAGCTCTCAACAACATGTCAAGCTGGAACCTTAGTTAAATGGCCAATTACTAACTACAAACCCCATATGGAGAGCTGAATAATCAAAAGTTACAGAGCTCAAGAAGACCGCCCTAAAAGATATCTCTTACATAAAACATCTAAATAGTAATTTAGTAGAGACAACACTAGTCACTGTTCAAGAGATAGCTAATGGATTCAATAAACTACACCACCAAAAGGAAAATAATAATAATAATAATAATAAAGAATAACAATAACAATAAAGGGAAGACCTTGCCTGTTTGTAGCTACCACCATTCCCAGGAATGAAAAGAACAGGTACACCACTGAGCTTCTTTAAGTGCTCCTGAAAGTCAATCTTTCTCCAACCTTCATGATACAAATACAATCCATACTTTGCAGAGGTTTCCCCTCCAGTAGTGGAAATCGGTATATATGTCGGATACATGTATGTCATGATACAACCATTTGATATAGGCTTCAATAAAGCATACAACGCAGCAACACCAATCCAAATCACAACAATTATAAGAGTCAAAGCTCTGAAACTCGGTCGAAAACCCCGCATCCTTGAATCATCATACTTATTCTCAACATCCATATTTACTTCTCACCTTTAAAGTCCCCAAAAAAAAAAAAAAAAAAAAAAAGGAAAGAAAACCCACAATTAGACTTGAATTGAACTTCATTTAATCACACAACCATAGTAAAATAGTTAAAGAAATTCCATATATTTAACTAGGATTAAGCACATTTAACTCTTGTTAAAACAATATCACTTCGAAGAATCTAGCAAAGAAGATTAAAGAAGATTAATTATAGTAGATCTACTCTACAAAAACTAGTTTATCGGAATCAACTTCATTAATTCAGCTTAATTCAAGATTAAAGAGGAAGAAGATAAAGAGAGTGAAACGAGGTAGAAAGAAGAAGCATTACTTGGAAGGATGAAACTAAACGAAGTGATCTGAATTATTCATGGAAGTTACTAGAAGGAGAATGCGAGAAGCGAGCTGATCGGAGGTTGGCCGGGGAATTTGCGGGGAGAGGTGTGAGATGGAAGAGAGAGCATGGAAGGCGGTGGAGGAGACGGATCGTTTGGGGTTTTGGTCCAAAAGGAGGAAAGTGAGAAAGTAGATTGACGGTGGAAATGTACGGGTCCGGGGGACGGACACCTAATTCAACGGCGGATGAGGCGTTTTGCTGTTCTGCTGTGCTGGTTTGGACTTTGGACCCTTGAGGCTGGAGTGGACGCTGCAGGTTTTTGGGTGGGTGGGCCTGATCAACTAAAATTGAAACCCATCCAACAATATTAAAAAAAAAAAATTTTGATATTTGAATAATTTTATTATTATTTTTTATATAATTTTCATGTATCATTTAATGGTTAGATATGTTTAATATCATAGGTTTTTAAATGAATAAAAACAATTAATTATTTAAAAAAGGTTTTTTCTATCATGTGCTTTTAGGGTATAAGATAAGAGTGTATTTATTGTACTTTTTTATCATTAATATATATAGTAAAACTAAAACTTGATATTAATTTTATCAATTGTTTAATAAGAAAATCCATGTGTCATAGATGTTAAAATTAATGTTAACTTTTTTATTTTTCTCTGTAAATTAATGCATGATTAATGATAAAAAAAATACAATAAATATACCCTTATCTTGTGTTTTATTGTTCATAATAAATAAATCCTTTAAATACTACGTAAAGTTAAAATAAAATAAAAGGAGAAAATTTTGTTAAAATCTTTTTCTAAAAAAAATTGGAGTTTGAAACAAAAGTAAAGAAATAAGTACATAAATCAGTAAAATGGTT